TGAATAAGAGAATACTTAGATTTATACTTAGGGATTACTTGTCGCCATATGATAGCCTTCTGACTAAGGTCAACACTAGTTCCTTATGTAATGGGCGTATCCAGAATTTCCTTATTTTATTGTACAAGAGCCTGTTTTTCACTCATTTTCCAGCTTATATGAGAGGTATGTTTTCACTTCGGTCCTCTTCTTATAATCTTCGCGGTAATTACATACTGTCACTTAGAAAACCTAGAACAACTAGTTATGGCCTTAATTCATTTTCATACTTCTCAGCTAAGCTATGGAATACACTGCCTGACTATATCCGCATGAGTGCATTTAAAGACTTTAGAAAGATAATCCAAGGCCGTATCTTTGTATAGTCGCTCCCGCTTATCTTCACTTTTCTGTTAATTTCTACTGATATGTTACATAATTATATTTCTAAATACTGTGTATTTTAGTATATTTTAGTATAGTTAGTATTTTAGATCTTGTACAGATATATGTATGAATATATATAGATAATCTCCATTTTATGTTTTCATGAAGATATTAGCTCCAACAAGCTACTCTAAAATTTGAGATGAAATAAAGTTTATGATGATGATGAAGTGTCACTTTAGATTTGAATCCGGGTTGCTTAAGCAAGCGGGTGTCACAAGAGCTTCTCAGTTTATAGCATGACTGAGACTTTAGAGAAATCAATGAATCCAAGTAAGTGGGAGCTGTGCCATGCGAGATCTTGAAAGGTAACAGAAGAATCCTGAATACAATTCTAGACCGAATCGGCAACCAATGCAACTTGATTAGAAGAGGTGCTAGGTGACAATAACTACACTCAGAATCTTCTGCAGTGAAAGCAAAATGCTTCCTCATCTGGAATTAAATTTTAAATGAAGACTTGTTTTCAAAGTGGATGTAAGGTTTGAAAATGGGAAAATATCACACGGGGCATATCCTGGGATATCAGTTCCCCTGTTTTGGCTGGGGTGCATTCTCTCACCTGATGTGTTTAGACAAAAACGATCACTGGTTTACCTCAGACTTCGGCTTCAGGAAATAACTCAGACCTCAGCATTGATAATTCATGATAACGTGCCTAATATAGTGACCACTGGGTGGAATTTTAGGCAAGACTTCCTTACAATCCCATACTTTACTATATATGCACAGCTGTACTAGTGCGTGGACAAAAGACAACCAAGGCAGAACAATAGATTACCTTTGGGACTACAGCTTTGTTCTAGCAGAGTATGGGATTATATGAAAATTCTTTCCGAATTCTGATTTTAAACGTTGAACTTCCTTACTAATCAAGTACCTACTCCACCGTTTCTCTGCACGTGCATTTCGCCACCATTTTGCACGCGAGAATTTAACAGTGCTCCTTCCTGTTTGAGAGTATCGTTTGCAGAAGCTGTTTGTCCTGGTCGTCTACAGGGCTGCAGTGAAGTAAAACGCAGAATTCCTCTACCGTAATTTCTTGTTTTGGTGGCCATAATGACCTAGCCTAGAAGTTGGCAAAATCACAGGCAATTCACAGCTGCTTTCAGGAAGCGGAGCTAAATTGGTCATGTAACTTGGTTGAAAGTGTCCGCACTCGCTCTAGTCTCTTACCTTGTAACTTTCAAAGTCGTCACGTGACATGATGCGATCTGAGTCATATGACACTCTTTCCAGTTCTCAGGGTGCAGAGCTAACAGAGACGAAGTTATATGGAAATGCCCTTTTTTTTCTCTTCCAAAAACACAGCGAATTGTTTCCAAACGAAGGGAGCATCAAGATAGTTCAAGCTAAATTCATGGCTGAAAGTTTCTCACAATGGCCCTTTGCAAAGTCCGCGAGCACAAGCAAAACTCTTTGCTTTCTTAATAGTGGACAATTTTACCATAATCGACATGTGTAAGTACTTAGGAAGGCAATTGTTCTAATAAGAAACGGTTTTGCAACATGTTATCGCCTCAAGCACGATCCTGATAAAAAAAAAAACGGCGATCAAGAGTGCATATACAATTACTTCCGCACAGAAACCATTAAGAGACAACAAGTTTTCATTTGGGGGTGGGGGTGGGCTAAGCCATTCACCCCCCCACCTTGTTACCCCTTGCTCCACCATCACCATCAACTTACGTGGCCCTGGTGGATATCAAGAATTTGAATATCGCTCATGCATTTATTTTTTGGAGGCTGCAATGTTTGCGATAGTTTTCCTTTGTTATGCTCTGTGATTGCTCTAAAAGCTTAACTTACTGTCAGTTGTTGCTTTCGGAGAGGGGTGGGTGCGCTTTTGGTCAGCTACTGATGTCGATCCAGAATAGACACAACAAAGCGTTATAGCGGATATCCATACCATTTATTTAGAATAACTGGAGCTCTTCACTTAATTTGAAGTAAACAAGGTACAATCATGGATCGCATAAGCTTTTAACTACTACTGAAAACTTCCATCTTCTATGCAAAGATTAAATCAACTGCAAACTAAGACAGAATAAAGCTTAACCTTTCAGGCTGAGTTTGCAGCAATTGAGACCTCAAGATCGTGGAGTAAAGACGACTTAGCATGTAAACAGCTATAAATTCTATTTTTTTCTCATTGTTCAGCTTGCTCAATGATTATTAAATGTAAGCACTACCTACAGTCTTTCTTATTGGGGTATCATGGCCTCTAATTTCGGACAGCCGACGTAATTGTGCGTACTTCTTGGTACTGATGTAAGTATGACATGCAAAACAAAGTTTCTAAGGCATGGGATCTAATTAATTTCAAAATTGTGTTTCATATAACTTAACTGTGATGGGCACACATTTTCCATTTTCTTTTATCCTAAATTCTGTTATTTTAAAGCCGTTTTTCATTCGGCTTTGCAAAAATTCTACGACTGGTTTTAACTCCCACTTGAAATTGAAACGACACTAGTCTTTTCTCTTTACCCTCCTAAAGGGTTCCCCAAAGAAAGCGAATTAAAGACATACCAGAGTTTGAAAGTTTTCTAGCATTATTAAAACGTTTCTAAACCGCAGACGTTTGACCGCCATAATGATCGCGTCCATCGTAACAAAAGTCAATCATAGTGTAAAAACTGGGATGAGAATTTCGAGATTTTGAAAGAGACCTTTTTGTAGGGGGGCTGCATAATGGCGGTTTGACAGCGGCCCGACAAATAAAACTAGACGATAATGTAAAGTAAACGTTGCATAATGTTAAGACCGACATTCACTGAAACACACTTTCATATAGTTTGTCCTTTAAAATATATCAACAGTTACACACTGTAATAATGAAAAACAAGCTCTAGATGAGGGTAATTTATCGAAAGACCCATTCAGTTTAGGGGAAAGCCTTTTACTTCTTCTCTTTGCTCTATTTATCCAGCCCCACCAACTGATTAATTTTTTCTTTCGCCTTTCCATACTCTTCCTTGGAAAAGTGTTTTTTCAACACTGGATCTTTGAGAACGCATAAGTTGTCTGCACATCGCGCCAAGACCAACAGCACACGGATGTAACTACTGGGTTTCGCATCTTGCAAAACAACCTCACGAATCTGTTTTTCTAAACTTTCTTCAGGTCCTAAATTTAAAAAAAAAAATTGTGGTCAATATAGAAAGAGATTTCCCAATGAAAAAAGGGAGTTCTCCAACAACATCTCAAAAATTTTGGGGTGAGCCATGTTGCAATTGCATTATAAAGTACATTATTATACATTAGACTTAGCATGAAAACTCTGATTGGTCGAGAGCATACAGTTATTACACAACAGCATGTAAAGTTGCAGATATTGGGTTTTCATGTCAAGTTCGAAGTCTGCGTAGTTTCCAGGCCCCTTGTCAGTGTAGTGTTCTCAACTTTTGCAAACTCAGAGGTGTTTTCTTTTGCAGATTGTTTAAAAAATGTATTTCAAAACAATTATTGAACTTGGTTTTATCTGTTATATCATGAATTATCAAACCTTGTGTCTGTGCTATCTGCTTTTGTATTAATAATTACCACTCAATCTCATCTACTAATTGCTTATAATAAGCTAAATCATTCATGCATTTCGATTGGTTCTCACCTATAATCTATATGAGGCCATTCATGTAGATGACGTATCCATTACGTATCGTTAAAACAAATTCTGCTATGCAGTGCTTAACAAAAGGTAAACACCGTAGCATACACTATTGAGTTATGGATGCAAGTAGGAGGTTGCTAAACACGAAAGGTGCATAAGAGTCGCACAAGGCCATAGATGAGTGCAACTCTAGCTTCTTGAGTGCTTAGTAAACTCCCAAGTGCATCCATAACTCAATGGTGCATGCTGTGGTGTTAACCATTTGTTTTATAACATAACATTGATATATTGTAGCAAAAGGGTTCCCTTTTAGTTAATGAAATCTCTGCATTTGCATTTGCTCACGTCAGCAGTGTAAACCCATGGGTAAATGGTAGACAATGAATTGACCAATCAGAGCGCATTCTTTACTTTGGTTATGTTAT